GAACAGTAGGAACAGAGGAACAGTAGGAACAGTAGGAACAGTAGGAACAGTAGGAACAGAGGAACAGTAGGAACAGTAGGAAAAGAGGAACAGTAGGAACAGAGGAACAGAGGAACAGAGGAACAGTAGGAACAGTAGGAACAGAGGAACAGTAGGAACAGTAGGAACAGTAGGAACAGAGGAACAGTAGGAACAGAGGAACAGAGGAACAGAGGAACAGTAGGAACAGAGGAACAGAGGAACAGAGGAACAGTAGGAACAGTAGGAACAGTAAGAACAGAGGAACAGTAGGAACAGTAGCAACAGTAGGAACGGAGGAACAGTATGAACAGTAGGAATAGTAGGAACAGTAGGAACAGTAGGAACAGAGGAACAGAGGAACAGAGGAACAGTGGAAACAGAGGAACAGTAGGAACATGGGAACAGAGGAACAGTAGGAACATAGGAACAGTAGGAACAGAGGATCAGAGGAACAGTTGGAACAGAGGAACAGAGCAACAGTAGGAACAGAGGAACAGTCGGAACAGAGGAACAGTAGGAACAGAGGAAAAGTAGGAACAGTAGGAACAGAGGAACAGAGGAACAGTGGAAACAGAGGAACAGTAGGAACAGTAGGAACAGAGGAACAGTAGGAACAGAGGAACAGTAGGAACAGAGGAACAGTAGGATCAGAGGAACAGTAGGAACAGAGGAACAGTAGGAATTAAGTAGGAACAGTAAGAACAGAGGAACAGAGGAATAGAAGTAATAGAGGTACAGTAGGAAAAGTAGGAAATGCGGCTAACAAACGCGATTTAAAGTGTACAACTTTAACGAGCGGAATATTTTTTGTATTTTTATTCTTAAGATGCATTAAATAAACTTATTATTTAAAAACTTATTACTATCATTTTAATACGGCGTTATTCCTCTTTATAATCCCTCAAATATTTTCGCTATGCTTCGAATGGTCAAAATACGTCGCACTATATAGTCCTATATGCCCCAATTAAAATTTGGGAAATCCCCAGTGTTCAAACAAGATTCGCCGTTGGGTGTAAGAACGTTTTGCTGTCTTAACAGCCGAAACACACTAAAACGTCAATATCCCACGTACAAAATATTTTGACCGCGATAAGCTTTTCGTGACAAGATTGAAAATAAGGTGGTTGCGGCCTTCGCTTGGTTTTGTGACATGTTTGCAAAAGTTGATTTTAGAATTTAACTTTTTGTTCATGACGAAAAGCTAAAATATTACCTCAATTAAAAGTAAAAGCAAGAAACATTACGATTTCTATCGGCTTTGTGAAAAGACTAAAAGCCATAAAAAGGCCATTATGTAACTTTCACAAACAGCTGCAAACTTTTTAAGCGAAAATGTTTGAAGGATTGAAGCACAATAAACTTTAATTTATTTGGCTTCAAAAATATGCAAGTATAATTATCCTTGGACATTATTAGATAAAGTAATCAATTTCAAAAGCATTCATTTCAAATATGAGTGTGAAATTTTTGACATTTCTCTTGTATTATTGATTATCCAGATAAATTTCAGAATAGTTCGATTCTCTTTTCAGAATGTACTCTATGAATTAGTCTTAACACGCAGTGCATTTTTACTCTTTATATAAGCATGTTTGTAATCTCACGCTATCCAATCCTGAATAAAATAAACACCCGCATCGCCAACATTAAAACATTAACAATTATAACTAAGTCGCGTTTTTAGCAAAATATCTTCTCGTAGTAATACAGTACAGTCTAAAGTAATGATTTCGTTCCAAGAGTCGCTTTTTCTTTTCTTTTTCTGCACCAAGAAAACAAGAATTTATGACTATTTTAATAAAAAATAATATAAAATTTTGACACTATTTTCCTTATTTCGGGTAAACAGTATTCTTTTAAATCCGAGAACTGAACGGAATAGGTCCCAACGTAACACCATCACCGTCTATTCCATGTTTTCTTTAATCAGAATCAGCCAGAATACCAAACAAGTTTGTCCACATTTGATTGGCTCTCATTTTTAAACTGCTTCCGCAGCAGGAATTGGTCTTGCCGTGAAATCCAGCAATGGCTGAAAAACTCAGAAAAAACTTATTTCAATGACCAATGGGAATGAGGCCTTGAGTACGAGATTGCCTGTCAAGTAAAATACATCATTCTGTTATCTCTTAGCGCAAATACGATTTAGTCAAAAAACCAGTTGTACTGGATTTGCTTTTTGAAGAATTCCTCGTCAACTTTTAATTTGTTCTTTATGTCTTGTAGTTTCTTGGTTATTGCTGACGCGGATTTACGACGTAGAGAAAATACACGTTGAAAACTTATATCTTCGGCAGAGCAGAATTCTACTATCTTGTGATAGTCTGCAAAGATTCTGTTCGGAGTGATATCTTGGCTTGTAACTAACAAGTACAAGATCAGTGCTTCAATGACGCACAGTTCGCCTTCCAACCAAGTTGTAGCAATGGGCTCTTCCGCTTTCGTTTCCATATAGCCTTTGTCTGTTTGCTTGACGTCTTGTTGAAGGTCTTGTTTTTGTCGCTTTCGTGGTGGCGGATCAAAGATGCCTTTTTTCATTAGCTTTGCGACCAAACGGATTCACGCATCGAACGACAGGAACAGTTAACATTGCAGCCAAGGGCAAGGCACGAAAACACGGACAGCGTGATTTATAGTGTTTGCAGAATTCACTTTTCGCTGTCTTCCTGGCGGCTCCGCGACCACACGAACATCCCGTTTGATTTTGAGTGGGGAGATCTACCTCAACTGGCATTTGTGTGTCTGGCTCCTTGCCGGTTGTTTCAGTTACAGTTGAATTCGACTCTGTGCGATTGCCTTCAACTGCCAAGTCGTAGTGGCCGCTATCACTATGACTAAAAGCAAGGTATATCGAACTTCAGATAGCACTCGTGTTCTGGGAATTACGTGAGTGATGGGATAATTTTCCATGGAGGTAAAAATAACCAGGGTACTTGAAGGATATTGCTCATCGCCAGTGGAACACAGTTTCCTAATTCAGAATCATAATGGCCCGACTCAAGGAACTTTTGAGCTTCTGCGTCATATGAATCAGTGGTGCTTGTTATCAGAAATGGCTCGTAAACATGCCGATTAGGCCCCATAAATTCTTGCACAATCAACCGCCTAAGAACGTTGATTTTGTCCTTGTCAGGTATCTCTATGCTGATACCGATTGATTTCAAGTAAGTGGCTAAGTTGGAGTTATCTCTAGTAAGAAGAGAGCTCAAACTGAAAGAGATGCAATGTAGAAAACAGTCTCCATCCCCTGGCATCGACAACTGTTCAAAGCCAAATGCATTTAAAATGCTGGTTAACCTCTCCCCTGCATTTTCCTGCGTCTGGTCTGGAGGAACTTGCATGCGATGAGAATAATAGAAGGCTGCGCCCTACGAACTGTGTCAGATTAACTTTCATCGTGGGTGCATCGCATTTCGCTTGCAAATCGTGAGCCAGGCTCTTCATGTACAGGGCATACTCTAAAACTCGATGATACGCGCTCTTCCTCGCTGATCCTCACATTATCGTTGTCATCAATCCCATAGTCCCCGTCCTCACTACTGCTACCCGTTGACTCATTTTCACAGGCATCGACGTCAGTGCCATCTTCCGAGTCATCATCGCTAAAACCGCTTCCATTTTGAATCATTCCAGTACCAAATACTTCTTCCTGACTGACTGACAAGTCCTGGTAGTGGGTGACTGGGACCGAACTTGTGAATGGCACGATCCAACCTTGTCCGAAAACCGCCTTTCGCTCCATCTGTATAGGCACGTTCCTATGCTTGCCACAGCTACTTTAACGCCAACTCTCCTTTTTTCTACGCTTTTTCGGAGGCTTTTTGTGCATTGCTTCCTGTCTGCTTGTTCCTGCTTTAGGAGGAATATCTTCCAAGCAACCTTTCTTAATATGTTTTCTTAACTTGTCCAGTTGGTTGTGGACATGCTGTGAAAGTACCTTTTCCCCTGCAAGTTCAACATTTTCCCAATTTTCCAGAAACCTATTTAAATTTGTCAACATCACTTCGCGAAAGGCGTTGGCTTCTTCGTTCTTTTTCGATATCGCCCGACTTCCGAAAGACTAAACGAAATGCATCAAGGCATTGTCTTCTTAATGGGTGTTTTTTTTTTTAATTTTACTAGCGATGCGTTGCACTGCATGAAAGAGATCAAGTTTAATTGGAATAACTCCAAATACTGCTTGAAGGAGTAATCTCCAGGCGCAGCAGTTGTCAATGGAAAATCCCTGCAAGGTAACTCCGCTATTTTGTAGCCTGTTCCGAATTCCCATGAGTAGGGTCTTCACCCTGGCAAAACCAGTGCCTCTCGTTAATTGCCACGCGATGACAATTCCATCCTCATTCATGACAGAAAACAAAGAGTCGAACTGGCGAATCCAATGGCCATTTTGCCATAATCCGACATTCCCAGCGACCTTGAATGTGTGGTCAGAAGAGAGCCAACCACCTGTGAACGATGACATGCGTGCATTGTAAAGTTTTTCTTTTCGTGCAATAGTCATGAACAAAGCATTGGCGAATCAGTTTTCTGTTAGGGTTTAACTGTGAAATCTGCGGCATTGTCGTGTGACTCACGTTGATTGATGGTCTATCCTCTGAAATTCTCATACGTAACAGTGTTAAGGTCCTAATGCTTGCCTTGGCGTGATAACTATGCCACATCTGTGCTAAAAGTGCTTCCACGTCCATGTACCTCATTCCTGACGCAGCATGAACGATTATTAATCTGTATAAACGTCGAGTAATCCCATTTTTGTGCAAAAGAAGGAAAGGGATCAGTTCTACCTGTCCAAACTTTTTCAGAATTTTAGGGTCATGACCGATTGTCCGATGATCATTTTTGCATGCATATACCCTACTTACCAGCAGAACAGGGCATTCTATATCTGCAAGCTGCCTAGGACTGTTGTGTTTCCAATCCTTTCCATCTTTCCAGCATCTAGGTTTCAGATCTTCACCACACTCTGGACAAGGTAAGTTTCACGAAAATGCTGAAATAACGGATCCCAGATAATGACCCCAGGAAGAAACAGGGTTTCTCTAATGGCTTGGTCCCCAATTTCATGATGGTAATGAATGACGGTTGCTGTTGTTAGCTCTCCTTTCTCGTATCGCTCTATCATTTTTGCTATGGCTTTTACCAGGTTGGGGGATAACGGATTACCATTAGTTACCCTTGATAAGAATATCACCACCATGCATAGAAGTAGAATGCAGTGTGATTTTCTTAAAAGAACATCCATCCTGCCTGTAACGAAGAAATACTATTATTGTCGTTATTTAAGAGGTTGTAAACACAATAAGCTTACGTTTTTGGCATTCAATCACACTTTTTACCTTACTGTGGCTTGAAATTCTTTATAACATTTCTTATAAATCACATTATATTAAATCGTATTATTGTAAGTCCAGGTTTTGGATACTTTTGAACGTTTTTTTACCGAGTAATTATCCCTGTTTGTAACCCGGGCGTAAACCAAACCTCCCCGTGGGTCCCCCCTGATACGTAATTTTTGTTACTTTTTATGAAAAATCGCCGCAAATTTGCATCACGATTTGAGGATGCGACTTGAGCGCGACAAAAATTGCATCGAATCGCCGCGATGAAAATCGCATGTGTATATATGTATCAAGTTAACAATAGCCTGTTCCAGGCGTTCAGATAGTGGGGAAATCGCGAATAGTTGCCCACCCAAGCGGCAGAACAGTTTCTTTCTAAACTAATCGTTTCAAAATATCTTTGTCAAGTTACTTCATTATTTTAAAACAAACTTATTAAAGTGCGCGGCCAAACATTTCCCCAAAATCCGTAAAACCATACTGCGAAAACATGATAAATAACAACGTTTGGAATAAAATGAGCTCATCTCGTTTGTTTTCAAAGTTTCATGTTGGAATCTTTAAGTCGAAAAGAGAGCGTAACTACGAGAAATATACTGTACTTTAAAGTTAAAGAATAAAAATCAAAGAGGCGACTCAGTGTATTCGCAGACTATACCTTATTCTGTTTGCTTTACTTCTGGCATGGGTTACTGTAATTTTACGGTTCTTCCGATACTGCTGAAACGTTCTGAAAAAGAAGTAAACAATAATTATAAAGAAGAGAACTCAAAAGTAAAGTTTAGGAGAAAATAAATGTGTGGCAACCATGAAATACTAACAGTTTGATAACTTACCGCTATGAAGTAACTCTTAAGATCCGATAGACGATTAGTGTAACAGCTCGAAACAGCACTTATCTTGACCTATCACGCGACTATTTGTCGATCCGCAAGAGAACTTAGTTTAAAATGTATCACTTGCCTCGTTGCTAACTGAAACTTGAAACGTCAATTAGCATGTATGTATTGTCTAAATGAAGAAACTTAAAAGGTGTGATAATCGAGAAACATTTTTTTTACCTTGCACCTTTATTGGTTTATCGAAACAAAGGAGCTATTTGATACGCTTTTAGTGGGGATGGGGTAAGGACTGAACATAAATCGCCTCTACCACCCTACGAGAGAGTAATTTTGACCTCGGGCCCAAGGCCCCCAACGGTCGTGAGAGAGGTCAAAATCACAGGGACGCGTACACTTTAAAAACTGAAACTGTACTAACACTCTTTAACAGTCAGGCGAAGACAACATTATGTTTTGCAGAAGCGACAAATGCGCTCTCGTTCTTACTGTATTTTTCCCATTGCTGCATGTGAACTCACGTATAGTTAACCCTATAACCTGATCCGGTCACAGATCACACTGAGAAATATTATCCCGAATTCAAAGGTTGCAGGACATGTAATGGGATTTACTAGAAAATACAATTATCCTCACACCTGGGCCTTTACATTCCACTCTCCTCGATGTTACAAAAAAAACCCTTTTTTCGGTTATTGGTAATTTGTATGCGAAAACGTTTAACCTCGACCCTCGCCAAAAAAGATAGACGCGATAGTTTTGGTCAGAGTTTTGGTTTAAGCTGCGAGCCTCAGGGATCTCAAGGAATAACATACCGCCTGTCCGAAACATGTTTTCTCTCCCACATTTATTTAGTGAGACGGTGAGAAATTGTAAACATGAGACACGACTACAATGCCAGCATTGTCCGATAACACAGTCTACCCCCGGGTTGACCGATAGCCACTCTAGTCACCCATTTGCGGCAAATGAAGAATGTTCGATTTATACCTTGATCGCCGCTAAAACAGCAAGGACTACAACTCAAGGAATTTTTTTCTGCAGAGCGACTGAATCAGTATAATGAAAGTATTTAAATGTTGAATTTCCATTGGAAGGTGATTTGATATCACGGTGTCTGGCACACCTTCTTAAACGAACAATGAACAATAAACAATGCCGTGAAGTCATTAAAAAAAGTTGCAGCCGCAATATTCGTCTCACTTTGAGCAGTCCAAGCTTGCATCGTTCGCTCATCATCAGTCGTTTACAAGCAACTTCAGTGTTGTCTAACATTCTGAAACAAAGAGACTAGACCATAAGGTAAGACCTTCTTGATATTGATCAATGTTAAAACAAGATATATTTAAAGGAGCAATGTCACGGTGATTTTGCTGTTTTTTGCCCAAAACTATTAAGAGAGCCTTTTTTCCCGGACCGCGTAAGAGGTGGCACATGATGGAAAATGTCCCTAACCTCATGTTCAGCTCAAAGATAGCCCATGGTGAGTCAATAATCGTGGTGGCATTTTTTTGCTCAAATCTATTTTTCATTTCTAGAAAATCTCAAAAACTCTAACAGGGAAGCAAGGCTTTCCCAAATTTGAACAATTGTGTAGGAGGCATGCATTAACAAATGATTTCAGCTAAGAACAGGTTTTGTAGTTACATTTCTGAATTAACGGTGAGTGTTTGAAAATCGCTCATATTTCATTATTTAAAAATTGCATTTTGGAGCAGTTTTTCAAAAATATTTTCCCTACGCGGTATAATTCAGAATCGCTTTAAATTGCGGTTTTGGAAACGTGGATATAGTGCTCTTTTTAAGGAAACTAAAAACGTTTGGGCCTCTTAACTACTGCAAAGAAAAAGCTCGTGTCATTTCGAGGAAATCACAACATCGACTTGTCAACAACCGCAAATAATCGAATTACGCTTGCTGTTGTTGAAGCCAAAATTCCGACGAAAAGTTATTGCTTTACACCATACTAGACCAGCGACATAGTGTAACGAGATTACCTTGCATAGCCAGTGGTTGAAGGTTGGTTTTATGCCTATTTTCGTTTCAAATGGCCATCTTCGCCGAGCAGGATTTATCAAATCACGCAATCACTAAATGTTGCCGAAGGCACTTTCTGGAACCATCGTATTTCTCGAAATGACACGGGCTTTTTCTTTGCAGTAGTTAAGAGGCCCAAACGTTCTTTAGTTTCCTTGAAAAGAGCACTATATCCACGTTTCCAAAACCGTAATTTAAAGTGATTCTGAGTTATACCGCAAAGGAAAAATATTACTTGAAAAACTGCTCCAAAATAAGTACCAAACCTGTTATTAGCTCAAATCATTTGTAAATGCCTCCTAGACAATTGCTCAAATTTGGGAAAACCTTGCTGCCCTGTGCGCTTTTAACGAGATCAGTTCTTGTACTCACATTCATCGCTTTCATTTCAACCATTTCATGGCGATGGGGGTCCGTTACAGGTTTTAGAATTTTCTTGAAATCAAAAATAGATTTGCACACAAAAAATTCTACCACATTAACTGACTTTCCATAGGGTATCTCTGAACTGAATATGACGGTAGGGAATTTTCAAGATGTGCCACATTTTTCGGATCTCACGCGTCTCCAATATTAGACTAAAAGTAACTTTTCTCCCACACAAAATGCTCCTGGAATACCGAGGGGAAATATCAAGTGATTCCGCGAAGGGAGAAAAAGCCATATTTAGCCGTTTTTATACTATTTTTCAACACTAGGGAAGATCTCGAAAAAAACTTGCCAATCAGTTTTCAAGCAGCCAAAGACACTTTTTATAGTTTCATTGCACTAGTATCGGAATTGTTAATAAAACTGGACAATTATTTTTAGGTTTCCATTGACACAGATATGATTTTGGCTTGTCAAAGTAGAATACCGTGACATTGCTCCTGCAATCAGTAATTTTCGTTATTCACATAATTGCCTTCAAATCGGAGGAAACCTCAAACCGATGATACTGTTTGCTATTTGGTTCAATCTCGCCAAATTTTGACTATTGTGACTTCTCTACATAGGTGGAGAATGGTCTTTCAAAAATAAGAGTCTCGCAAAATTTTAGCGAATTTAATGGGTCTCGCTGTCTCGTTTTTTTTAGCAGTTCTGTGAGTCTCGCAGTCTCGATTTTTTTCTCGATTTTTGGCAAAGCTAGTAATGGAAGTCTAGCTCCTTATTTGTTGCGTTCAATAACTGAACCGGCAGTCGAACATCACATGGATTTTATTCGAATGAGTTCGAAAATCGAAAACAATCGAATTAAACCGGTGGATTGAGTTCGATTGTATTCGATTAGTTCCATTGGTTCGGAAATCGAACTCACAGAAAGTTCGCCGTTCGATTGTCGATTGCCGAACTCAATAGAACTCGAGTTATTAATTTGTCTCATTAAAATATTTCTTCTTTTCAGTTGTAATCATGGCTACAGCGTATCCCCCAGCGTCCAAGAAGAAACGCGTCTCTGATGTTTCTTCCTTGGCCGCCCAAGTACGAAAATCTGCAACGGACATGCCCCTACCATGGGATAAGATTGCTCCCCCAAGCGTGGCGGAATGGCTCGATGTATACGCAAAAGCTAACAATACAACGAGAGATATTTTGCTGGGGAGCATTCTGCCCACGGTTGCTTGCTTACTGGGGACAACCAACATAAAGGTAGAATGCAAATTACGCCACGAGAACGTAAATTTGTTTGTGCTTTGCCTCTCACCGCCCGGATCTGGAAAATCCCCGGCTTTTCAAAATGGCTGTTCCCAGCCTGTCCGCCTACGTGGAAGAAGTAAAAGT